TTTTGATTCAGATTTCTTTATATGCTGTTAAATAAACAAGAACTAATACAAGATTATAACTAAAGGAAAGTTTCTTTTAGAAAATAAGTTCTTCAACAGCTTATGTAAAAATCAAATCAAATCAATTAAGAAAACGTTGTTGAACTATAATACTTTTAAGTGATTCCATCTCAGAAATAAAACCCTGAATAGTAATCCTTTTTTTGAAAGTGTACTTGAGTGGGTGGTGAATTGGGGTGGACCGTGCGGTGGCTTGCCAAGGGGGCAGCTAGCCTTGCTCTGTCGCTGCCTCTGCCCTGCTCACGATAACTTTAATTTGGCTTAATGGAAATTTTCGCCGGCGCTCTCGTTGTGCTGTTATCCTTAAGCAAACTCACGGATGCTGCTCCTTGTATTGCTCTTCACCTACACCACCACCTCCTCCACTGTCTTACTTTTCCAACTGGCCATGGTCCATGGTCCATGGTCCGAAGTCCCTGGTCCGCGTGTTAAGTAGGTGACGCAACCGCAAATTTGCGGCTGGCGATTTAATAATGCTAATGGTGTGCGTGTGCAAGTGCATTGGTATAGTTGCCCATTGCACGACGCTTAGTTGTTGTTGCTGTTGTTGCTCTGGACCGTCTGTGAGACACGTCATCATCTCGGCCGTCGTCGTCGTCATCGTCGAACCATTTACGTCGTCGCCAGCCGGTAATTCCCCGAACCCATAGCCATAGCCATCGCCATCGCCATCGCAATCCCCTCTAGGTGGTGCAAACAAGTGCAAGTGATGCGCATTCATTGATAAGATTTCGTGCCACAACTCACCGCTGCCGCCGCCGCCGCTGCCGGCAGCTGTCTTTGTGCACTGCTGCCCCGTGGATGTGTGGGCATACATTAAGCCAAGTCAAGACCGCGTTGCCATATAGGTAAGCTCGGTGCGAGCAAATCTTTCAATCGGTCAACGGGGGACCCAAAGAGCCAGAGCGAGCTTCAATGGCCTGCATGGACAAACTTGCCACGCTCTCTGCTGTGTTGTGGTCAAACAGCTGTTAACGACTTGCAATGTCATGAGCGATAAGCACACGTTCTGAAATCGCCAGCGATCCACCTTCGAATCCCTTAACTAGCCAACTTGGGGTTTATTGAACCCACCGCTTACGATACGCTCTTATCTTGGGCTCTGAACTTAACCCTCGGCGGCCAATCGAAACTCATTAACAGGGGGCTCGGTTTTATGGAGCTAATACAGCCACGGGAATACTAATTAATGGGCGACTACCGAAAAGATATTATGAATGTGCAACGATAAGGTGATAAGTAATAAAGTTAAAAGTAGAGTAGTAGTAAAAGTAGTAACTATTTTAAAAAATCCGTATTGCCACTAAAACTATCTGCACCTTTATCCCACTAACAACTAATTCCCTCGGGGTAAGTCCCCAACTAAAAACTCCTGAACTTATCCGAATTCTTCTCTTTTTCACCTGCGGGACACAAGTCGTGACTGGGACCCAAATTGCTCATGCGACGTGGTGGCAGAGCCGACCCCTTCCTCTTCGGTCTTTTGTTTACATTTTTAGAAGACTGGCACCACAACAAACGAAAGGAAAAAAAAAAAAAAAAATTACCAACTCCTCCTTCCTCTTGTTGTTCTTTTTTTTGTTTTGTTATTTGATTATACATTCCTCATTGAGCAATTTGCGTTTTCGTGTTGCACTTGACCCAAGGAGCCGGCAACAAGTTAAGATGCGAGGCCAAATTAAGGGAGCCAGAACATCCAAGGATAATGGTATTAATGGAGCACACACAAACACAGACACACACACACACAGGGCCTTGGATGCGGGGTTTAAGCCCCCTGAAGGCATTTATTTTATGGCTGCCCCAGACACCAGACATGTGTGTGCGTATCCTTCCTTCCCCCAACTCGCACTCACACAAACACAGACACATACTCATGCAAATATGGCAGCGGCTGCAACCAAAGCGTAACCAAAACCAAACCAACCAAGTCGCGATTTTCATTCATAAAATCGAAGAGCCAAAGAAAATGGGCAGCGAAGGAGGCTGTTGGCGCTGCGCAGTTGGCGTCGCTGCCTCTGCTACCAATAACTCAAAAGGCGCGCGCATTTCAGCGCACTTGTGTTAATGTATCTGAAAGTGAAATCACCAAAGGCGGCCCGCTGCCTCTATATATCCATGTATCCGTGCCATGCCGGTCCGGCGCCAACTTCAAACTATTATTTGCCAAGCCACGCGGCCAGTGCCTCTGCTTCAGTCGCTGTCTCAGCCTCAGTCGCTGTCGCTGCCGCTGCCTATGCCGCGGCCGGCGTCGCTGCCTGCTCAATTAAGTGAATTAAGTCTCGTGCCGGAATTTGCACCACCCCAAAAACCCCAAACGAGCAGGCGAAACGACGAAGAGGAACGAAAACAACAACATTCAGCGCACATAACCATAAAGAACAATTAAAAAAGCAGAACAAGAAAGGAATAAAGATAAGGCGCAAAGAATCAAGACTGCAACGAACGGGAAATGCCCTTTGGCTTCGGAAAAGGTAAACAATCAGTGGAAAGGTGTCCGCTGCATTTATCAAAATGGATTATTGTATAAGAGTGAAAGGTGCCAAGTTGGGTTTGTAATTGTACTTCCTCTTGAAACTCCAACTTCCTCAACTCAAAACAGCACTCGTAGAAACAATGGTGTTTACAAAAGATTACTTGAAGAATTGACATCTTATTTGATGTTCTTCTTTATATTGGTTCAAAGCCAAATGATTTCTAATTTATATCAATGATAGAGATACATATGTGGTTTTGGGGATGATGAGATGGCACTTTTCTTGGTACTTATCTGAATCCTAACTATCTTGTACCCTTGATAATACATATTTCTATTGGTTTCTAACTCTTAGTTTCTAAAACTCTATCTTTTAAAGAAACTGTTTTTACTAAGAGTTCATTTATTATCTCCAAAATTGCATAGTTTCCTTTAGCGTAAGCAGTTTTTGCCAAGCCAATATTTGTATCTTATACTATTCTGATATTAGAGATCTACCAAATCTAGAATTCGCATGCAATTAGGGGATTCCCACTATGTATTTCCGTTCCACCAACTGCCCGGCAAATTCACCATGACCTAAGCGCATTGTAAAACTTTTCTTTACTGTCGAAAGAACTAAGAAATTAATACGAGCTGCTCCGCTGCCGCCAACGAAAGAGAAAACGTAAACAGAGCAATGACGCTGACGCCGACGGCGACGCCGAAAAGTTTGTTGCTGTTTTCTGCGGGGGAGCTGCGGCAAAGGACGGGGGCAAAAGATGGAAGGGGGATGGAGACGGGGCAGAGAGAGCGAGCATGAGGGAGAGCCGAAAAAGAGCGTTTGCATGTAATTAATTAAACGGCCCCAAAAGTCAGCTGTCTGCTGGCGCCGCTTCTGCTGCTTTTCTGCTGCTGCTGCTGTCCAATTGTTGCGTTGCATTAGACGGAACGCAGCGGCTTAGCCGGCGACAGCGACGTGACAGAGACGTCGACGCGGGCAGCGGCTATTTAGCATATTGTGCGAATGTGTGCCAATAGATGGCGCTGCATGATGCCAACCTGCCTGGGCACAAAGTGCGAGGGAGAAGGACTGCTAGCTCAGACTGTTAATACTGCACTGAAAAACCGTCAAGTGTTTGTGCTAAGATGTGGGAATTCCACAATCACCTAAGTTAAAATGCAGTTTACATTTTACAGGCATTGGTAAAGGTTCAAAACCCAATCAAAGTTAATGATTATATGGTGAACATGTGCAAGAAGTAAAAGTATCTATTTCGCAAGTAATCTACCAACCATTTAATTTAAAACCTCAAGATTGTTCGGCTAAAAATACATTTCGAATGAAATTAATTAATTGGTTCGTTCAATATAATATAAGTAATGGCAAGGGTATATTATTTGAAATGACTGGTTGGTAACAAACAAAATGAATCTGTAACGGCAAGTGTTATATAATTGTTTCAAGCATTACCCAGCGTAGTGTCACCTCATTTCTTACTGTGTTTTGGCAAAGGTGGTGTGGGGTTAAGGGGGCACTGGCCAGCCTGCTGGCTGCACGTGCAACTTGTGCATTGTTTACATTGCTGAATGGCAGCAGCCGCCGAGAGCGAGCATTGTTGCTGTTCTTGGTTTGCTGCCATGTCCCTTTGTTGCTAACCTTCCTTTGCTCCTCGACTCTGCTCGCATTATCCACCACCTAAGTTTGCATGTCATGCCCAGAGCACCAGCACCAGCACCACCACCATCATCGTCATCATCATTGCCACCACCCACTGAGGCAAACACCCGCCCACGCATTGCCAATAAGCTGGCACAAACCACATGTTGAAGCTACGCGCATTTCGCAAGACGGCGCTGCAGGTGCGGTGTGCCACCTGAGAGATTCCCCATTTCGCGGAGGCGCAACCCTTAGGTCGCCTTATCAATCCTAAGACGAACTTCACTTGCGGCAAGTTCAAGTTGCTGATAAGTCAGCTCTGGCATTTTGGAATTGGTTGGCGATGCGCCTTTATCTCGCTTATACTTGAAACCTTAGACGGGATTTCCCGAAATATATTTAAATGATTTGGGAAATTACTCGAGAGTTTTTTTTTTAAAAGCAGATTGCTCCCAGTTTTGCAGATCAAATGAAGAACTTGAAATTGGAGTACGGCATACATACTTTCTTAAGGAGAATAACTTACGTTTTAAGAACAGTAAAAATATAATTAAAATATAAAAAAAATAACTATTTTGAATATTTGTAATCTAACTTATATTTCTAGTTTTCAAATCAATCAGTTCAAAGTAAAACATCCTACTATAGGGAACTCTCAGCTCTCTTGACTAGTATCAAAAATTGATCATTGCAATTAGATACATATTTGAGGTCTCAAGGAGTGCTATGTTATAGATATATCAAGTTAGAAATAGCTCCTTTCGTATATCCTAGATATCTTGTGAATATGTGGGACTCAATCCTTGTTGGTCATATGGGACTCACCTCAGTGCACATTTTCGGCTGGGCCGTTCTTAGATTCACAACGTTTATATCCAAATAGATGGAAAACGAAAAAAAGGTATTGCGTTGAAGTTTTTTGTTCAGGGCGGTACGATCCCTGTCAGTCAGTCACTGGGCGGCGTTTTTGGATCAGAGGGCGGCCAGCAGGTGTCCCGAAGGGAAGCGGGACGAGCAGGCGTAGGAGCGGCCCAAAGCGGCATCACAGAACTTGGACAACATAGCTGGCACTACTAGCACTACTATCAATCTGTTTGTTCACTATTTTTCAATATAATTTTCCAGTTGGTTATGCTTGGCACCGAACGTTTTGCACTTTTTCCGGGAATCAGTGTTCCGAGTTGATAACTTTGAATTACGCGCGCTTGGCGAACGGCTGGCGTTTACGTCGTTTTCGAATTGGAGCTGACGGGCGGGCACGGAGCGATTGGGCGACGTGGACCTCACAGCGCCGTGCTGAAATCACAAATAAAACGCTCGGCGCTCAAGAAGCAGGCAGCAGGCAGCTCATGGTAGAATATGCTTGAGGTAGTCGCGTCGGATCATTCAGTCCTTTAACAATCACTACAACGAGTGTGAGTGAAAGGGTGTTTTTCGGGGAGTGCGACAGAAACAGCAATAGAGTGAGTTGTCTATATGCGGTGCATGGGGTTTAAACTGGCCTGTGCTACAATGAGTGAGAGAGCCACCCGAACGTTAACGGACTGAACCTGAATCCGAACGATTTGTAGTCTTTCCGACAGTTATTCTCTCAGGCACGCACACCACTGCCAGTAAATGCACCCCTGTACGAGCGCCGTCATTGCGCTATGCGTGAGTGCGAGCGAGAGCGCTGCACAGGCTATCTCGCTCCCGCGACCCGCACTTATGTAAAAAGCACTGAAACTGAACGTGTTTGTGGACGGCAGCGGGGGTGAGAGCGGCGACGGGAAGAGGGAAAGAGCGACAGAGCATACAAAGGCATTGCCAGCTGCGTGTGGGGCCGAGCGGAGTTGCCAGCCACCAGTTTTCAGGCCAGCACAGCAACGCAAAGCAGAAATCCCAAACAACGAAACATCAAACTACGAACAGCGAAGCGAAACGTTGTGCAAACCCAAAGTAAACCCAAAGTTGGCCCGCCGGTTCGTTCGGTTCGATTGTGGGAGCGGGTATTTCAAAGATACAAGCAGCACTGGCGGCGTTGCCAGAGTTCGCCGCTCGATTTGAAAGTCGATTGGGATTCTGACATTTCGGATAGCGATCGGATGGTTTTTGAAAACTGCTAGGGTTGACTAGAAACTTAAGGTGTGGCGATACTCATTGGGATGATATTGATTGTAAGATATTTATATTCTATAATTTTCATGGTCTTTTATATTAAGACGATATTGGTTTCAAGTACTGGCATTCTATAATTGAATCAATATGCTATGTCTGATGTTCACACATATGTGAATATCTGTTTTTGCTCTAAATACTCACTACCAATTTTGGTAGGTCGACAATAGAGTAATTGTGTCAAAACCAGAAAATATTGTAACCAAGATGAAAATTGTTGTTTTTGAAATAATCGCTTACTTATATATGGGATATATGAATTCATTTTGTCTTTAGATGTTATAGTCTTCTTGATATTATAAAAATGAAATTGTCATTAGATCTCTACACACTGCACTATTAAAATGCAATAAACCAATAAAGAATATAAAATAATAATTATATCTGTTGAATGCAATATAAAAAATATGTTTGATCTTCCGTTTCACCCATTAAGATCAAGAAACTCAGTAATTTTCCTAACTCACTAAGCATTAAGTCCCGAAATTTCGGCCATATGGCAACCCTCTGCTGCACAAACGCTGACTAACAGTCTACACCAATACCAACAACGGCGTATCTCTCATCCGCTGTGTGTGTGCGTGTATCTGTGTGTCAGTCTTGCTTGTCAGTTGGGATTTCGTTTCGTTCGCTTCGTATCGGGTCGTTCGTTTTCGTTTATATAAAGGTACATTTCCACATGCGCTCATGTACACACGGCAGCCAGGGTGTACGTGCGTGTGTGTGCGAGTGGTATGCGGCGAAGGCAGCTACAAAGCAAACTGATCCAAAGCGACTGAAACTCGCTGTGAAAAGCAAAACTGAACCCGAGTTGCTGTTGCTGTTGCTATTGCCGTTTCGCTGGCGACGTCGGCGTCGTCTCTTCTTGTCTCTCTCCCCCTTTTCGTATTTTCTGTAGTTGTTGGAACATTTTTGTTTATTTCAGCGGTGCGCTCGTATCTGTATCTCAGATGTTGGCTGACTGGTTCGCTCCGCACACTGGCAGTCGTATCTGTATCTGCCAGGTACTTTTTGCCCGCTTCGTGTGCGCTCTGTGCTATTTTATGCGCTATTGCCAAGATTGCTGTGCGAATTTCGCCTTGAAACATTTTTGTATTTTTTTCTTGTCTGCTTTTCGCCGAGCTTATCTCTTTTGGCCCCAAAAAAAAAAAAAAAAAAAAAAAAAAACAAACCAACAAAAAAGACGTAGCTAAAATACAATCTGCATATGGCCAGAAAGCGCGCGCCAATTCTAATTCGCCTGGCCAAAAAGGCGAACTCTTGATTGAAGGTCAGCGCAGGAGAAGTCGGCAGTCCGTCGCAGGCTGCGGCCCAACGCTGACTGATTGTTTTCGAGCTGCTGGCTCGAATACGGCATTGGAATGGCAGTGCCACCGAAACCGAAAACCCAAGCCCAGCCAAAATCGCAACCCAACCCAACCCAACTCAACCCAACCAATTCTGCGTCGCATATTTGGCCGTATCCTGCTCCGCTGCTTCCGTCTCTGTCGCGTCTCAGTCGCTGATGTCATTACTTCGAGGCGAGCGAGAAATGGGGTTTACTTTTTTATTCCCCATCGAATCGACAGGGGTACAAAGGTAGTCCGTGCTCCGTTCCAGCTGATGACGGACATGCAACTGGTCGAGCGAGGGCTATCTGTATCTCAGATGTTGGCAATCAGTTATCAGTAAAATGGGTCCCGGGCCCTACGTTTTATTTGCGGGGGAGTGCTGACTGTACCAGGTGCGACAAAGTAATCTAACTGTTTTAGAACAGTAGGGAAACATTAGGGGTTTTGATCTATGATCGTCGTTTGTGACATGGAGAAGGGTTATTTGAAAGACATATGAATAGGATATGATGAATTGAAATGGAATTCTCAACCGTATAGTAATTCCACTATTTTTAAATTTTATATAACACAGATTTTATAAGCACTGAATGAAAGTCTTTGCAGTTACAGTTACTTGTTAAAGGATCTTAAAAACTGATTTCAGAACTAAATCCCATACGTTCTCATCTTGTAGATCTTTCTGCATGTCCTGACTTGTCAGCCAAACAATCGATCAATCGATCAGTGCGATTGGAATGCCGAAGTGGAACAAAGGCACCCCCAACTACCGAGTATTTCCTGAGTATCGAAAGCGTCGGGAGTTCCGTTTGTGCGCCACTTCGCTTGTTTAGTTTAATTCGTGACGCGATGCAGAGCAGCAAATAAATCAAAACAACGGCGGTGATAAAAAATCGCCTTTTTTCACGTGAGAGTAAAAGCTTCGAGTGCTGCGGGCGGCGCTGCCGGCGTCGACGTCAACGTAGCTGTTACAATGCCGCCGGCAGAGCTGTTGGCGATTTGAATATGTTATGATGTTGATGTTGCATGTTGGCCCGCGTCGCCAACTGGTTTTATTTTTATTCTCTATTTCTATTGCGTCTACTTCCGAGTTCAATGCAAGTGACGTTGGCGGAGGCTGCGACAGAGGCGCTGGCAGCGGCAGAGGCAGCGACGTTGCGCAACCGCCCACACGCGCTGCCGCTAGCTTTTCTAAAAGTGTGTGTGTGTGTTTGTGTGCGTGTGCTATGACTGCGAGGCTGCGTCGTGCAAATATTTTGCCAGCATTCGCTATTCACACATATGTCGGTGGCCCAGAGGCTGCGCCACCCCTGAGGACCCCACCCCCTCCCGCGAGCCACCAAATAACCACCACCCCCACCAAACGTGTCCCATTGAAAGCTAGCCGGCACTCACTCACTGGCAAACAACACACATGTTGCTTCGGTTTAGATTTAGACGAGTTTTGAATACTGAACAAATGGCCCGAGTGGCAGAAGATGACGAAGGAGCAGGAGTAAGAGTATGAGGACTTTTGCGGCACCACAATCGCCAGCTTTGTGCTACCAACTGCTGCAACATCCACGGCAGCAAACATCGCTGCACCGCAGCAACAATAGCGATCGTGTTGCAAAAACAGGTGTCCGCTTTGCATAGTCTTGTTTGGTTTCCATTGGCCGGAAAGCTCTGAATATGGTCAACTGGGAAGTTATCAATACAGCTGAGTTGTATCTTTGTATCTTTGATGATATATTTACAAGGTACTCTCTTAAACTATGATTCTACACCTTACGTATTCTATTTGTCCACTTAAATAGTTTCAAACATATTAATATTCCAGTTCCTGTTTTTGAATTGGTTAAGTTAATGTGAACTAAGTTATTTACACAAACCATACAAAAATAAGGATATACAACTTAGTATCTAACAATAAATAAATAAATTAAATCAATTACTATATGAACTCTTCTAGAAAGTAGGTTTCCTTATCAAGGCAAAAAAAATAATAATTAAACCACTGCTGATTAGTTATTAAATAGCGATAATGTTAGGTTGCGTAGCAATTATCAAAAGTCATTAAACTACCAAATACTTTTTAAATCGAATTTAATAATTGGAAATCGGTTTATGCTGAACAGCCTCGTCCTTTTACATTTTAATTAAGTAATTCGACACTCGAAATATGTTTTCCTCCACAAACACCAATTCGTACGTTTTGCACCGCTGGTAAATTACGCATAACAATATTTACATAAATACAACAAGGAAACGTTTCCTATTTGATATATTTAGTATGTTGAATGGTTATGCAACATTCCGTTGATTCGATCCCCATTATTTTTTGTTGGCTACGCAACTTCTGTAACGCACATTGTGGACATAATTAAATGTTTTGTTCCCAGCCGAGATTTCTCTTTTTAAAGGATTCATTACCTAATTAAACTTTGCAGCGCACAGAACCTTATATGGGCACATGGGGACTTCGCTTCATGCAACTCCCTCGCAAATAAAGCAGAATAAAAGCAAGCAGTGCGAGCGAGCGGCGTTCAGTAATCGAATCAATTCAACGCCAATTATACAATCTGTCAACAGGAGCGGGAGCAGAAAAGGAGCAACCTGCAGCACCAACGCTCGACTCCCCGAACCGACGACCCTGACCGATACGATACCATCGGGCGCAACCCACTGATAAGAAAGCGTTCGAACAGGAAGCACTCGCCGCCGTTGTTGCAAGGAACAATAATCAGCGGCAGAGCCAACAGACAGCTAGCCTTCACTGAGCAAAAAGGAAATAACTACTGCGCAGCCAACACAGAAGGTAGTTCCTAATTTAAAGTGTTTGTGTTTCTTAAAGTCTAA